AAGTAATCCACAGCACTCCAGTCCATCAGTTGAGAAGCCAAAAGCTGCGTGATTGTAACAAACTAATCCATTGAGACGTTTTTAACTTCAAACTTTTGCTTCTGGCTAAAATCCATAATGCATAATAACGCTTCCTCCAGTGAAAAAGTGCATCTCCTGTTGTCTCTCACATCAAAATCCAGCCACATATTTGTTTAGAGCTGTTTTGGACTGTAAACGGTGCTTGATCTCTGCAGATTTCTCTCCTGATTCAGACCACTTTTACTCTGGAGGAAGCGTTATTATGGATTATGGATTCATATTTTAGCCAGAGGCAACAGTTCAAAGTTAAAAACATCTTAATGCTGGATTTGTTTCAGCTTTTGTCTTCTCCAGATGTTAACTGATGGACTGGAGGGGTGTGGATTACTTGTGGATTATTGTGATGTTTTTATCAGCTGTTTGGACTCTCGTTCTGACGGCACCCATTCACTGCAGAGCATCCATTGCTGAGACACTGATGCAGTGCTACATTTCTCCAAATCTGATGAAGAAACAAACTCATCTACATCTGGGATGATCTGAGAGTGAGTACATTTTCATGTTTCTTTAAAAACATGCACACATCATGAAATCTCACATGCTGATGTTTTTTTTTTCCTCTTTCTAGGCTCGTGGAGCCTAAAGATGGCGAGACGGCCGGTGCGTTGATGACGTTTTTTCTGGCTCTGGGTTTGTCGTTGGGAGCAGCGTTGTCGTTCACTCTGCGTTTTCTGGTCTGACGCTCACGATCTCACTCTCACTCCTGAATCCTCGGCTCTCAGGGCGTCTGCGACAATAAATCGATGCATAGCGATTCGTGGATCGATTCTGAGCTTAGTTTTAGCCCTACGCTAGTTTTTAACCGCACACTGAGTCATGCAAGTGGTTAAATGTACTTGCACCTTTATGCTTTTATGACTACGAATGTTCCCATTGTGAACACTTTTGCAATTCGCTTCAACCTTTTCAAACTGTATGAATGATTATTTTAGGCTCAAGTGTGTGCAAGGAACTGGAAGCAAGCAGAGCACGGCTGTTTCTAAAGCACGCATCTGCTGTTCAAAACTGAGCTCAGAATCGATTCGAGAGAGAATCGCGATGCATTTTTACAATCTCAGAGTAAATGTAGAATCATTGCTTGATTGGCGATGCATCAGTATATTTTCCCAGCCCTAGTCTGCAGTTTCATTGAACTTTGTAAACAAAAGTGCACAAAGCACATTTTGGTTGCACAAAGTGCTCTAGCTGGTCATCTAGTTTTATTATTTTTAATCATTTTTTTGAAAGGCTGGTCATAATTTTAAGTCTTGCGTAAAAAAATAGATTGGCCTAATTTAAATCCAAAAAATAAGACTTTTAATATAAATAGTACATACAGTATTATTAAAACATACCTTATCTTCTATGGTAATTTTATAGGGAAGCTTTGTGAAAAAACATCCAAATGGGATCCATTTTTTATGTTATTGCCCAGCCCTAGTCGCTAGTATTATTGTTATCGATATGAGATCATCTTCAGACGGTGGATGCAACACAACTGTTGTTACCATGAACAATAGATTATGGGATGAAGGATTTTTTTTAATGCTGTTTAAGGGCAAACAATTGCATTCAGGGAATTTGTAAGTTTTGAAAGGGACATTATTATTGACATTTCTTGTATTAATGGAGTGTTTATTACAGATATATTTACATTTTCTATATATAGAGTGGGGTCTGAAAGTCTGAGACCATGATTTTATTAAAAACCTGCAAATACAGTTTTGGGATTTTGAAAAACATGTATTGCATAAAATACAGCATCTCTGATTCTGCACTATTTCTAGGCCAGTAATCGCATAGGGAAAAAAATGTACGACTCCTTTGTACAAAAGTTCAAATTTTCGTGCATAAAAGCACACACAACATGCTCTTTGCCCGAGTCATGCTGGGATAACATGGATCATCAGGTTTTACTTTCCTCAGCTTTTCAAATTATGCTGATAATGGGGAAAAAAATTAATGTATTATAATGCCAAATAGTGCATTTGCACTAGTAATCGCAGATGTATGGTCTTTGTGTGGTAATGCATACCACATCAAGCCTGTAACATGTTCAAACATGCATAGACAGGTATTGAAGACACACATCTGAAAATTAATGTATTATTTTTAGGGTCCCGCAGGCGAAACATGGCGTAAAAGCATTCCAGATTGTTCTCCTTTTGTTTTTGGCAACAGTAAATTTAATTTGGACTTATAGACCACAGTTTTCAAACTGAGCTCCAGAGAACATTTCTTTAAAAAAAACAAAAATTTAAATAAACATTATTTACCCAATTTGACATTATTTCCAATTTGTTCCGTTTCGTAAAGACTGGTTGGAAATTAAATGAATCATGATTATTTAATTCTGTTGAAGGAATTAACTAATAGTGTGTAGAAAATATGCTTTATTTAATACGGAATACAAACAAAACGATATTCTCCATATGTTTTAATTGCATAGATTTTTCCCCACTTTTTTTGTTTTTGTTTAATAACTATAAAGACAAGTAGGCTCGTCATCTCGTGTGGAAACTGCCTTAAACTGACCTGACCTTTCATTTCACTCTCATGCATATGAAATATGAAGCTTTGTTAAAAAAAAAAAAAAAAAATTGTTAGTGAAACTTTCTGTTTGCATGATCTCCCATGCTGATGTTTTTTTTTTCCTCTTTCTAGGCTCGTGGAGCCTAAAGATGGCGAGACGGCCGGTGCGTTGATGACGTTTTTTCTGGCTCTGGGTTTGTCGTTGGGAGCAGCGTTGTCGTTCACTCTGCGTTTTCTGGTCTGACGCTCACGATCTCACTCTCACTCCTGAATCCTCGGCTCTCAGGGCGTCTGCGACAATAAATCGATGCATAGCGATTCGTGGATCGATTCTGAGCTTAGTTTTAGCCCTACGCTAGTTTTTAACCGCACACTGAGTCATGCAAGTGGTTAAATGTACTTGCACCTTTATGGAAATATGAAGCTTTGTTAAAAAAAAAAAAAAAAAATTGTTAGTGAAACTTTCTGTTTGCATGTTATGCTGGAGTGTACAAAGTGCCATATGAATGTGTTTTTATAGAACCAGCGAATATGTTACAAACATTCTGAATTTTTAGAAAATGCTGATTTTGTAGTGGTTTCAGTGTTTAGTGGTGATTTAGTGATACTTTTTATTAAATGGCCACCTGTTACATAGAATAGCCCATTCTACATGTTCATTCCTCCAAAAACACAAGATTAATTTACAGTCATGCGTCTGACAGTACAATCATAATGTCTTGACAACTAGCCAGCAGATGAATGCGATCTCGCTCAGCTGTGATGACAGGATTGTTTTTGAATCTTGGAGATTTCGCAGATTTAGAAGAACATATTCTTGACGATGACTGAAGTGTCTATTCATATTTTTACTTTTTTTTTTTTACATTTACTGTATGAGGTGTAACCGTGCAAGTTGCTTTTTATTAAAAAATAAAAATCCAAAAAGTTGTAGAGAAAATTTAAATCTGTTAAATAAAATGGACGAATTTTTGCGTGCTGAAAGTCACTTTTATTTGTGTTTGCAGTGAAATCTAATACTGTATCAGAGGAAAATGACAATATAACAAAATATATCACAGTAGTTTGTTCTACATCCAGCAGCAAACGTCTCCGATGAAGGCAAAACTTCAGAAATGTCATTAAATGCACTGATGCTTGTTTTTCTTTTCAAAGAAATCATTAATATCAGCACATTGCTCACACACACACAGTTTCTGCAAACAGTCTGTTCCGTCTATATAGAATACGTTTTCTTTTTTTAAGAAGCAAAGGTGGTTACTCAAATATTTCGAGTTTATAATCAGGATGAATTGTTTTGATGATTAAAATCCTAGTACAATCCGAGTGTGTGCATGTACACACATTCAGGACTGTCATCATATTGCCCCGTCAGTATATTTTTTGCAGTGTAAAACTAGCAGTATTGCTTACATTTTTACCATGCTTTCATTTTTTTTTATTATAATTTGTAAAAAAAATTCTGACAGTGGTGTGTAATATCAAACATATTGAGGTCCTTTGATCGTAAGAAGCTGTATTTTTTTAAATGAATGCTGTTAGACTTTTTCAAATACTAAAGAGCTGTGACACTGCTGCTTAAAAAGATATAATTCTATTCAGAACGTTTTTTTCCCCCACATAAATTGAGCTTAACTTGACTAATTGCACAATTTCATTGACTTATTTTCCCAACACAACTGATGTTGGACGCCAACAATTTGATTCTTGTCGAATTTTGGTGAATATTTCATGAATGTGCATGCAAAGTGTGTCGTGTGTTGTTTTGAAAAGGCTGAAAATGTGCTCAAAATGACTGGTTTCCATGCAGATTGCCAAAAATCAACACTTTGAAAACCAGCAAAGAGTCCGGTAAAAACCAGAAAACCTTTATTATAGCGTGTCAAACACTAAAGTATGAAATGCATGAAAACTTATGAACGTTAAAATTCAGAGTTTAGTCGAAATTTGAGATTTGTTTTCTGAATTGTCCAAGAAAAAGTCACTTTTCCTTTATCTAGTTGAGTTTGTCAAAAAAAATAAATAAATACAACAAATAACAACAAAAAGGCAAAGTACAAATAGCAATAATTAGTGCACTAAATACAAAAAACGTTTACTATTTATACTTGAAATTATTTGCACCTTAGTGTGCAAATAGTCACCGCAAGCAGTCATGACAAAAATATATATAATTATATATTTTAGCTAATTTTGAACAAACATATGTGGGTCAAATTGACCCCTAAAACACTAGAAATAGATGGGGATTATTACATTAGTCTCTGACAAGCTAAAATAGAGGTTTTCAATGTTTTACAGTGTTGATTTTTGGCAAATTGCATGCAAACCAATGGGGTCAACTTACAACAAAGTTGTACACCCAGTTTTTTTAATGCAACAGGAAAGAGATATTTGTGCATTTTCTATTTATCAAATGATGGGAAAATATGTCATAACCAGATGTGCCATGTAGCCATGAGCATTTCAGCATTTTAAAGCACAAATGCATGTGTGTGGATCGCAGTAGAGCTGAGTTTCTACACTCTCAGCGTAGTACGGCAGATTGTAGTAGTCTGCTGGTTTCTCCACAAACTAGCAGTAAACAGCTCTATCATTCACAGTGTGTCATCCAGTGTCTAAACAACTACAGGACCTGTGTGTGTTCATGACAGCACAGTGAGTGTGACGGTTCCTTTGGTTTTCTTCAGAATACAGACGGCCTCCTCATGAGTGACTCCCTCCAGACTCTGGCTGTTAACGGCGATGACTTGATCCCCACGCTTCAGACGCCCGTCCTCTGCCGCGGCCCCCTGAACACACACACACACACAATCAGATAATAATGCATCTGTCTGTCTCGTGGCATCAGTGGATGTACACACTCGCTGTGCCAAAGCGTTACCTTGCTGAAGACGGTTTTGACGTAGATGGGAAGGTCACCGTGAGGGCTGCCGAATCCACCCACGATACTGAAGCCCAGTCCGTCAGGCCCTCGCTCCAAACTAATGCTCTTACACTGCGGAGGACTGGACAAAAGACATGTTAAAACAACGACACTCTACGGTTTTCAATTAACTGTTTTAATTGCATTATTTTATATCCATGAAACAAGAGTCATGCTTAGAAGAGAAAAGTGTCCAAAAATGCACTTTTTGACAAGAGGAGGTGAATTGGGAAAATTTCCATAGATATATATATATATATATATAATTAATTTGGCAGCAATTATATTTGCTAATGAGGGTGTAACCAGTTATTTCTCATACAGTAATGTTATATAACCTTTAATTAATAGATTGATGATGTTCTTGTAACCCTTCATGAAAAAAAAAAATATATAAATTATACAAATATACTACAAATAGTATATTTGTATAATTTATATATCTGGCAATGCCAAATTAAAATGAAACGTTGTCAGGAATACATAATCAGCAGGCAAACATTGTAAACGATGATGCATAATACATTGAGAGAAAAATACGATTTAAAATGACACTATTGAGAATCGGAGTCATCTCCATAGTTGAGTTTCTATATTTGATTGTTATTTTCCTGTTTATCTCTGCGAAGCTGCTTTTGGCACGATCTGTATTGTATAAAGCGCTGTAGAAATCAAGGTGACTTGAATTCAGAAAGGAACTCATCAACCATTATTCCGTTGACTCACTAAAGCCAGTTTTTAGTCACATTTGGCACGAGTTGAGTGTTATTTTATGACGGTTGAAGAGTTTTGTGTACAAACCCCAGGTCATCGTGGAAAATGCTGCTGGCTGTGAGTCCTGCTGTCTGCTCTGCTGACGGTCCAGTCACTGTTGTATCGCCAGCAACGACCTACACACACACACACACACACACACACGCGTCATATCTGCACTAAACCGTAACACACCGCATGAGTTCAGAGTTGTGCATCTGCAATTAGTCTGGTCATTTTGTAAGAAAATGCATTTCACAATGTACACATACAGTACTTAATGTGTGCACTTTTGATTGAAAAGAGAAGTGCACTTAATAATACCGAATGTGCACTTGTAGTGCACTTCAAATCTTAGAAGTATATTTAAAAAAAAGTACTTATATATAATATTAATGAAATAATAGGCCAGTAAAAGTGTACTTAAACACACTTCCATGACTGAAGACGGTTTTGACGTAGATGGGAAGGTCACCGTGAGGGCTGCCGAATCCACCCACGATACTGAAGCCCAGTCCGTCAGGCCCTCGCTCCAAACTAATGCTCTTACACTGCGGAGGACTGGACAAAAGACATGTTAAAACAACGACACTCTACGGTTTTCAATTAACTGTTTTAATTGCATTATTTTATATCCATGAAACAAGAGTCATGCTTAGAAGAGAAAAGTGTCCAAAAATGCACTTTTTGACAAGAGGAGGTGAATTGGGAAAATTTCCATAGATATATATATATATATATATAATTAATTTGGCAGCAATTATATTTGCTAATGAGGGTGTAACCAGTTATTTCTCATACAGTAATGTTATATAACCTTTAATTAATAGATTGATGATGTTCTTGTAACCCTTCATGAAAAAAAAAAATATATAAATTATACAAATATACTACAAATAGTATATTTGTATAATTTATATATCTGGCAATGCCAAATTAAAATGAAACGTTGTCAGGAATACATAATCAGCAGGCAAACATTGTAAACGATGATGCATAATACATTGAGAGAAAAATACGATTTAAAATGACACTATTGAGAATCGGAGTCATCTCCATAGTTGAGTTTCTATATTTGATTGTTATTTTCCTGTTTATCTCTGCGAAGCTGCTTTTGGCACGATCTGTATTGTATAAAGCGCTGTAGAAATCAAGGTGACTTGAATTCAGAAAGGAACTCATCAACCATTATTCCGTTGACTCACTAAAGCCAGTTTTTAGTCACATTTGGCACGAGTTGAGTGTTATTTTATGACGGTTGAAGAGTTTTGTGTACAAACCCCAGGTCATCGTGGAAAATGCTGCTGGCTGTGAGTCCTGCTGTCTGCTCTGCTGACGGTCCAGTCACTGTTGTATCGCCAGCAACGACCTACACACACACACACACACACACACACGCGTCATATCTGCACTAAACCGTAACACACCGCATGAGTTCAGAGTTGTGCATCTGCAATTAGTCTGGTCATTTTGTAAGAAAATGCATTTCACAATGTACACATACAGTACTTAATGTGTGCACTTTTGATTGAAAAGAGAAGTGCACTTAATAATACCGAATGTGCACTTGTAGTGCACTTCAAATCTTAGAAGTATATTTAAAAAAAAGTACTTATATATAATATTAATGAAATAATAGGCCAGTAAAAGTGTACTTAAACACACTTCCATGACTGTTTCTGAACACACTTAAGTAGACTTTTAAAAAGCGCACTTTGTAATAATGTCAAGTTTTTTTTAAGTCAAGTACATTTTAAATCATTATGTTTTAATAATCTTTTGTGATGCTTTAAAGAAGTACACTTATTCTGATGTGTTGACTAACATACTAAAGCACATGTAAAGTACTTGATTATAATTTTAACTGTAGTGTGTTATTCAATATTACATTTAAAGGTAATATATTTTGCAACTTCATCATTACTAATGTGTAATTACAAACATATTTAATAAATACAACACATGCAAGTTTCAATAGAAATAACATACTTTTTAGTTTAACAAGTATATTTTAGTTTATCATAAATGCTTGTCAGTACTTTAAGCATATTTCAAAGACAGAAATAATTATATTACATATAAAGATGTACTTAAGTCCTACTTAAAAATCACTCTAAAGTTCAGCTAACTGCATTTAATTTAAATGTAAACTATCATACATTTTCATTTAATTGCAATTAACATGCAATTAAGAGTCAGAAAACATGACATTCAGTTTGCATGTAGATGCTATCTATCTATCTATCTATCTATCTACAGTATCTATCTATCTGAAGTGAATACTTCTCTTCCACAGTGGATCTTATGGCTGCTGTGCCGTGGTGTTTTGTACCTGTAGTTGTATGATGCCTGTTGTGTTCTTCAGCAGAGAAACAGCTTTATTGTGAGTCATTCCCTCAGTCGAGTTTCCACAGATGGACACAATCCTGTCTCCAATCTAACACACACACACACACACACACACAGATAATAAACATGAGAGATAACAATGGCTATTAGAAATAATTTCAACAGAGAGAAATGAATAGGCTTATAAAGGAAATGTGCCTCTGAAATTGCTGGAGTGAGGTGAGGTGAGGTGAATAGATCTGTACTCTGGTTGGCGAGAAGATGATTGTGAAACAGCCTGAAAATACGGAATCAACTGCTGCAAATTTCATAGAGCTGTAGCGCCTCCTAGAGCTAGAAAAGGGTAAACAATGTCTTACCTGTGCAACAGCGATCTGTGTTTGTTGCTGCTGCTGTAGCAGCTGTTGTTGGAGTAACTGCAGGTGGTGTTGGGTGGCCAAAGGTGTGTGAGTAGGAGAGCAAGGGCTGCTGGGAGATAGCGTGTAGAGAGAGACACCCTCCAGGTCTTGTAAAGACTAAGAGATAAAGAACGAGAATATGAGAGAGGGAAAACAAACGTTAACAAACAACTATTTGGTTCATAAAACATTATCATTTGAAACATCATCTTCTGCAGTGTACAACTGAGGACTATGGACTTTGAAAGCATAGGGTTAATTAGTGGGCATGTGTGTTTGCACTGAGAGAGCACTTTAATATGTGGTTCAGGACACCTCAAGTGCTTTCATTAGAAGAGGAACATATACACATAGGCCCAACTAACACACACACACACACACACACACACACACACACACACACACAGATAATAAACATGAGAGATTATTATTCACAAATGTACACCAGCTTCAGTGTGTCAGACCTTCTACATACTGAACAAAAAAAAGAAAGTTTTTAACTTTGGTTCAGATGTTAGACACACACACACCCAGAGTTTCTGTGTCTGAGCTGCCAGGCCGCTGGGGTTCATCATGGCGATGAATATAGGCACGTCACCCAGAGGACTGCCGACCCCTCCTGCTATACTGATGCCCAAAGAGTCTGACGGGCCCTGAGACACACACACACACACACACACACACCATCAACTCACCCAGAGGACTGCCGACCCCTCCTGCTATACTGATGCCCAGAGAGTCTGACGGGCCCTGAGACACACACACACACACACACACACACCATCAATTGAGGAAACAATGAATGAGCAGAAAGCAAAAGTCTCTCTGTGTGAACAGGCCTTAAGACTGAATCAGTGTAACTGACCTTTGTGAATTCAACCGTCCTGACGTCTTTATCCAGCACTGTGAGGCGAGAAATAAAAGTTTAAAAATCAAGAATGAATCATAACGTTGAGATGTTTTACCGGATGGGCTGCAGTATGTTCTTACATTCGTGTGTTTTCTCGGCGTCTCCCTGTAAAGTTTCAGAGCTGGAGTGAGGAGTGAGTATACCGCTGCCCGTCTCGCTGATCTGAAAACACACAGAGACATTCACACATCTGAGCGCAAACACACCAAACACACACTACATGACTCAAACTCGTCCAATCTTCTGCTTTCATTTGTTGACTAATCTGCACATGCCTGTGAGGCGTGCACCAGTGTTAACTAAAACCAAAACAATTTTTTTTATAACTGAAATGTGTGTGTATATATATATATAAATATATATATATGTATATATATTAGAAATATTGCCTTGGCAACTAAATGAAATAAGTTGAATTTGTTGCACTTTAAATTACTGAAACTGAAATAAAAATAAAGCTACAGTTCAAAATTAAATGATACAAATGACTATATAAATTATAAACTAATAAAAATGAGAAATGCACATGAATAATTTACTAAAACTTGACATAAATTTAAAATGAAAATGATAAAAAAAGCTAATTCAAAATATTAGCAATAATAGAAGAGTATAAATGTATTAAGAATAATAATAATAATAATAACAATACCACCAACAGTAATAATAATAATTATTATGAATATAAGAGTATAAATAATAAACAAATAATAAACACATATATATATATATATACATACAAAAATATAAATAATAAATGTAAAAATATAAACTTTCTATTGCTATTTATTTTGTACATATTTTATTTCTATATCTACTTTTTATCTTTTCAGTATATTATAACTGTAATTTTGTATTTTATGCAAATTCTGTTATTTTTATATTCTAATTTTATTCTTTAACTTTTACATTTCTTACCATTTTTTATTTTTATGTAATGGAGTGACTGTAAAAAGAATTTCACTGGATGCTTAACTGTGGATGGTTATGTGCAGTATGTGACAAATAAAAAAATTTACTGATTTGATTTGAAATAATAAATAAACTATAAATAAAAAATAAGAAATATAAAATAAGAACTAATGTTAAATAATACTGGTGTGCACTTGTAAGACCCACTTCAACTAATAACAAGGTCAAACCTGCTTAAAATCTGACAACCACAGTCTTCAAGAACAAACTCGCTCATTGTGTGAGAATGTGTTTTAGGATCACAGCTTCGGTATCAGAGCTGTCAGATGAACAGTGATGGATGGATGTGTTCACCAACACAACAGAAAACAAGAGAGTGTGACTCTTTAACTGTTTCTGGGTCTGACCTGACTGCTCTGGGACAGACGGCGCTCGGAGTGGAATGGCCCCGCCTTAAAACGACCCACGTCCAATCGGATTGGACCAGCACAACTCTGAGGAAAATCAAAACCAGTTTACATGAGTGACACATGTGTATTGGTTTTCACATTCACACTAGATCAATCACATTTATATACAAAAAAGGACATGAGAAGGAGCCAAACTCAAAATTTCAAAAAATACATTTATATATAATAAAATATAACATTTATTTTAAAATGTGTTCATTTTTACACTTTAGTTTTTTAGTTCATGAGAGTTAGGTTTCACTATTTCCGATGCTATTACAAGTTTTGGAGACATTATGAAACATTTTCACGAGAGCATCTGGTCATTATTGATTCACAGCTCATAAAAACAATAAATCAAACATAGGGCACACCATGTAAATGGTGACTGCATTTTATTGACTTTTATTTTATAGACAATTCTCAAATCTTGCTGCACATTACTATTGATTTTCACTGGGGTTATTATTGCTAACTAAATCTAAAACAAAAATACAATAGAATTTTGCTACTTCAAACAAGATAAACATGAGCTGAAATAAAAATAAGTAAATAAATAAAATAAAAATAAATAAATAAAATAAAAAATGTACTGTATTTCAACATTTTAATTTTGAACTAAATAACTAAAACTAAATAAATAATTAATAAAAACTATATAGGCATTTAAAAAAATGACCTAAGGAATTCTGACTCAAAATATTAACAGAATGATACTAAAATACTAGTGCTGTCAAACGATTAATCGTATCCAAAATTATGTATTTTACAGTGCTGTCAAACGATTAATCGCGATTAATCGCACCCAAAATAAATGTTTTTGTTTACATAATATATGTGTGTGTACTGTGTATATTTATTATGCATATATAAATACACACACACACACAGTATCTATTTTGAAAATATTTACATGTATTTACATGCATATATTTATATTCATTTAATTTAAATTATATATAAATATATAAACATAATATATTTTTCTTAAATATATACATGTATGTGTGTGCATTTTTACATGCATAATAAATATTCACAGTACTCACACATATATTATGTAAAAAAAAACTTTTATTTTGGATGCGATTAATCGCGATTAATCGTTTGACAGCACTATAAAATACATAATGTTTAATGTTTGAATATCTTTCAGTAATAATCAACTGTAAAAGGCAGTGACTCTGTGACGCTCACCTTGAGCAGCGCAGCCACATACTCTTGTGTGGCTGAGCGAACGTCCTCACCGTTAACCGAGAGGATCTGATCTCCCTGCATCAGCCTTCCGTCAGTCTCCACTGCTCCACACTTCACAATGTCCGACACAAACACCCCTGTGTCGCTCCTGAGACAGAGACACAATCACTGACCGCTCATGCAGGAGATACAGAGCTCAATACAAGAGCTATGTTGGTTTTTGACTTGTGCGAAAAAGGGTTAATGTGAATAAAAGGAGATGGAAACGCATTTGCCGAGTAAATTCCTCCATGCGCATCAAAAAAGTCATGTGACTGCGCTATGGGACGGCAAAACCTAACCAGTGGACCAATCTCGTTCCTCAGCATCTGAAATGTTATGGTCATTTTGAAATGTCCGAGCAAAGTCTGTCATCAACGCATTTCTGTATAATTGCCTCCCAGAGCTGTTACACGACTGTGTTCCCAAACATCAGCATCCACCTCCGAAAGCAATGACCGCATTTATTTAGTTTCGTCTTCTCGCTCTGAGGTGCAAGTAATTTATTATATAGGCCAATGAAAATTATTGTATTCAATGGTTTCTCCTACTTTTCACAGTGATATACTGTATAGCCTAGTGTCAGTTCTACCAGGAAGTGACGATTTTGTTCTCTTTGACTCGTTGGATGGAAACGGTGCTTATTTGCAAATGTTTTATGCGATATTTCAATTTTGCGCATAAGTTAAATTCACAACTTTGGACGGAAACCCGGCTATTGTATTACATTACTGATTTAGAAAAAGCCAATTATCAGGTTTCCATCCAAGGATTTTTTTTTTCCAAAAAAATATTTAGCGCTTCAAAATTTTTACCGATATAGCTGATGGAAATGCCATTTATCGATACAATTTCTCATGTGTCGACACAATCTTTTTTCCGTTTAACTTTAGCGCATAAATACTATAATCGAGACTTCAAATGTCGCAAAAATTTGTTTGGAAACACTTTTTGTCGAGAAAAGCGGCTTTAACGCAAATAAATGTCTTGTCACATGACAGAATTAGCCTATAGGCAGCGTCCGTGTTCGTATTGCTCACGTTAAAGCACCGTTTCCCTGTAGTTCAAAAGCGCATTAAATCATATTCATATTATTAAATTGACAAGTTACCTCTCAAACATAGGCCTACATATCTTAATTTGATGTACGTTGTAAGTTAAAATTTATTAATTTTGTTCTGAAGATCTTGTTTTACGTGGATGTTGGAACGATAAGTACAACATTTTAAATTAATTCGTTTTGGCTTGTTAATAACTTCTTATATTTTTATTCTTGTTTTGTTCCGAGTACTGTTCTACTGTTAAATTTTAAAGGATTTGTTCTGTAATGAGGGGAAATAAAACAGCATGTTTTTTCAATATGTTTGGCTGGCTGTATTTTATTATGACAATGAACAGGCTGCGTTGTCGAGTTAGTAATGCTTAAATGCTTAACTTTTTTCCTTATAAAAGTGAAAACAACTTACAATAGCCTACTCCTTCATTTGTGGTCATATAAGAGTAAGACATTATTCAAAACTATTCTAAATATTTCTTTTATTTGCGTACATTCACAAAAACAAAACACTGTGCTTTTGTAAAATAAAGGAAACAAACAGGATGCCGCTTTCTCAAGAGCGCATCAGAAAAATCTAACGAAATTCTGCATTTAGGCTGCTAATTGTTGCACAGTTTTTTTCTTTCATTTTGTTAATTCAGTAATTACTTAGAAAAATATATTTAGCATATAGGCCTATTTATTTCTTTTATATATTGCTTTATAATGTTATCGCAGAAGTGCTGCAGGTAACCATGTGAATCGTCACATTCTGTTATTTATGCTGCCTTTTGTGTATAAAATTAATCCCTGGAAAACAAATTTAAGTATTTTTAATGGGTCACAGCCACGTATCAATTCAAATTTAATTTAATTGTAATTTAACATAATCTTGTCGGTTAACGGTTAATAATGGCGTAACGACCGTCGGTTGTCGGTTAGGCTTTAGGAGAAATAAAATAACCGAAATGAACATTCCTATTTCTTAATAAAAGTTAATCAAAAAAATTATGATTATTGCTTGATGATCAAGTTTCTAAATAGTCTATAACAAAGTACAAAAAAAAAACTTATGACACTTTATAATAAAAATAATTTAATGTAGGCCTATACAATTTAATACTAGACTATATAATTAAGTTTTGTTTCAAATGGATAAAGAACAGGCTACTAGCCTATATAATTTATGCAATATAGGTGAAATTATGTATGGAAACAGCTCAAGGGCAATTTTTTTTTGCAATACGCCAACACTTATGCATCAGTGACGTCATCACACACACCATTTTATCGGTAAAAGGCCAGTTGGATGGAAACAGGCTGTAGACAGCAAATTTCGCAAAGTTTTTTTTTTACGCATATTCTCTTTGTCGATAACAAAACGCAAAAACTGGATGGAAACTTGGAATGTCTCGGAGACAATTAACGCAAAAGGTGTCACTTTCATGACTGTTTCTTATCGCACTTAAGTACACTTTTAAAAAGTGACCTTTGTAATAATGTCAAATTAAAAGTTTTACTTAAAAAAGTACATTTTAAATAATTATGTTTAAAATAATCTTGTTTTATTGAAGTACACTTATTTTGATGTGTTGACCAACATACTAAAGCACACGTAAAGCACTTGTTTATCTTTTTAACTGAAGTATGTTATTCAATATTGCATTTAAAGTACATATGTTGTAGTGTATTATATGTACTATTAAATATATATATGTATATCATTACAATTGAATTTTTGTTTATTGATTACTTAGTATTCTCCAGTACAACTGGAGTTAAAAGTTGGTTGAAACATGATTATATTACATAAAAAAACTTCAACACTTTAGTGCTATTGAATATATTAGTTAGAAACTTAAGCTTTACAAACTTAAATGCGCTTAATTTGAATAATTTTTTTTTGATTTTCATCAGTATCACTTGTTCTATGAATTGATAGACAATACTAATAAAAAACAAAAACAAACAAAAACATAACATTTTAGGTTAAGCTGACAAGTGGGTGATATTTTTAATAACATAATTAAAGAAAATGATACATTGTCACAGTGTATTCAGCAGTACGAGTAACTGCATTTTAAAATGTACTTAAGTTTTACTTAAGTGAGTCAAAAAGTTCAATAGCACAATAACACATTACAGTTAATTGCAATTAACATGCATTTCAGTGTCTGAGAACACTGCATTCAGTTCACACTTAAGTATATTCTTTTAAAGTATATTATTTTGGTTACACTTTATTTAACAGTAAGTGCACTTAACTGGAGTTAAAAGTTGGTTGAAACATGATTATATTACATAAAAAAACTTCAATTAGTTAGTGCTATTGAATATATTAGTTAGAAACTTAAGCTATACAACCTTAAATGCGCTTAATTTGAATGATTTTTTTAGATTTTCATCAGTATCACTTGTTCTATGAATTGATAGACAATACTAATAAAAAACAAAAACAAACAAAAACATTACATTTTAGGTTAAGCTGACAATGGGTGATATTTTTAATAACATAATTAAAGAAAATGATACATTGTCACAGTATATTCAGCAGTACGAGTAACTGCATTTTAAAATGTATTAAAGTTTTACTTAAGTGAGTCAAAAAGTTCAATAGCACAATAACACATTACAGTTATTTGCAATTAACATGCATTTCAGTGTCTGAGAACACTGCATTCAGTTCACACTTAAGTATATTCTTTTAAAGTATATTATTTTGGTTACACTTTATTTAACAGTAAGTGCACTTTCAGTGTACTTATCCAAGAAAGTACTGCATAGTACAAAGTAACTACGTGGGTTAAGGTTAAGTTTAGGGCTAGGTTCGAGGTTAGTACCTAGTTATTACCCAGTTACTGTAATTGTTATAATAAGTGCATACATAGTACAGCAAGTATTCTTTTTAAAAGTTTTTCCTTTTCGCAAGTGGAGATATATCTTAATGTTATACGGCAAATCAAGAACGTGGGCTGTAAACAGAACATAATTTAAAAAGAGATGTTTGCGTGCATTTTTATTGCGGTTAAAATGAATGTTTTAATTTCACACTCATGCACCATTAATTTAGCAACAGCCAATGTCTCTTGAGACAATTCACGCAAAAGGTGTCTGTTGCAAATCCGTCATGATTTATTTTCATTTCTAAACTGCAACTTCTAACATCGACATGCATGCTGAACTTTATTTAAATGCAAGACATAATTAAGTATTTTCACATGTTTAGATAAAATATGCTAAAACACCTGCGTCCTATACGGATTTAATATGGAACGCAATTCTGATCAATGTGTAAAAATATGCAGACAGCCCAATTTACTATTTACTCACACTTTACTGACTAGTAGCTTTAACTAGTGCTCTAGTACCTTCTCCCGATGACGCTGAGTCCGAGGCCGTGGCCTGGTTTCTTCTGAAGCTCGACGCTCAGCGAGTCCCACAGCTCCTCCTCTTTATACTGACCCTCGTCTCTGAAGACCGCCAGACGAACGCAATGCGGAGTCTGCCGCAAAACATTGATGGCCTCGTCGTGCGTCGCCACGCGCAGATCTACACCGCTCACCTGAGAGAGACAATGAGTTACGAGACGGATGAAATAAAGCTGGCATGAAATAAAAAGGCTAGTCAGAAGAGTCGTGATTGTACCTCCAGAATCTGATCTCCTGCCCACAGTCGGCCGTCTTTAGACGCAGCTCCCTCCTCGTACACCTCGTGAATTATTATAGTGCCCTGAACACAGACAGACACAGTCCTTATAAATGAGTTCCTACGTCCTTATATAGCAAGAAGTGTGCTTAATTGTGTTGAATGTGCACTTGTAGTGGACTTCAAATCTTAATAGTACATTTAAAAAAAAAAAACTGTAGTTGCAGATAATGTAATATTAGTGAAATAAAAGGCCACTTAAGTGACTTAAAGAGTAATTTCAAATCATTATATTTTACAATATTTTGATGTGCTGATAAGGCCAGTGTTACTGTACAGTATTATTTATATAGTGTTGTATACTATTATAGTGTAACACTTTGAATTAGCTTTTATTTTAAAATTTTCAGTTTTATTTTCATTTTAGTTTAAGTTTTAATTATTTGTAATATGTTTTTGTCATTTTTATTAGTTTTCGTTTCTTTATATTTATATTTAGCTTTTACTTAATATCTATTTTATTTTTATATTTTAGCTTTTTAAGTAATTTTGCTATGATTTTGTCATTTTTATTAGTTTTTTTTTATTCTATTTACCTTTTATTAATATTTCAAATTAACTTTTTTATTTTTATATTTTTAGTTAAAATTTATTTTGAGTTTTAGTAATTTTGCTATGTGCTTTTGTCATTTTAATTAGTTTTTGTTTTTAATATTTGTAATTAGCTATTATATATATATATACATATATATAGCTATTTATTTTATTTTTTTTAGTTTTACTTAAACTTGTAATATCTCTGTTAGCTGCCAAGATAACATTTCTAATTTGTATTCTAATTCTAATTGAACAGATTTTTAGCTCAAGCTTTTCAAATAATATTTATATTTTATTTCAGCTCTATTTCACTTAATCAATAGTTTTAGTTTTAATAAATAACAACGACAACTGGATTTTCTTTAAGTTCCAACTTTTTGAGTTGAAGACTATGTAACTTAAAAATTGATGGTGGAAGCTAATTTTGTGCACATTTTGGTAATTTCCTGTGTGTGAGTGCACAAGTTTCTATCAGTCGCACACGTCAGTGAGTTTATTCACCAGCAGCGTGTCACAGCCGCCCACGATGCTCAGCCCCAGTCCTGTTCTGCCCTTGCTGATCTCTATAGTGGTCTCACAGCCGGGGATGATGGGACACGTCGCCGGATCAGACGCCAGTGTCGCCGGTGTGGAGCATCTGCTGGAATCTGCAGCACAATAATCATGAGGACAGAGATCAGCTTCTGATTCATTCAATAATAAACTTGTTCTGTTTTCCTTTAATACCCCCAGACCCCTCCCTCTTACTCCTGATTGGCTCTGTCTCTGATGATGTCAGAGAAACCAGCGGCAGGCTGCTTCCAGTGTCTGATCCCGAGCAAATCTGATTGGATGAGGAGGGTTGGGAGGCGGAGTCAGTGCAGATGGTGAGTTTCACGGATTGCTGGGGTTTGTGGAGGAGTGACGTCACCTACAACACACATTTTACATCAGACAGTGACATTTTTGGAGATAATAAATCCTATTTACATACACTACTGTTCAAACGTATGCATTTATTTGATAAAAAATACAGTAAAAACTATAATATATTATTACAATTTAAAACAAGTGTTTTTTTGTTTTAATAACTGTTAAACTGTAATTTATTCCTGTGATCAAAGCTGAATTTTCAGCATCATTCCTCCAGTCTTCAGTGTCCTTCAGAAATCATTATAATATGCTGATTTGCTGCTCAAGAACATTTCTGATTCTTATCAATGTTAAAAGTTTATTTTTCAGCATTCACAGATGAATAGAAAGTTTAAAAGAACAGCATTTATTTGAAACATAAATCTTTTTGACATTATACATTTCCTTAATGTCACTTTTGATCAATTTAATGCATCCTTGCTGAATAAAAGCATTAATATCTTTAAAAACTGACACTAAACTTTTGAACATTAGTGTACATTCACAAAAATCTTAACAGGTTATTTACAGAATATTGGTTTGTGACAAAACACACATTCTGTAACACGGTAACAAAAGAGTTTTCAGAGCACAGGAAGATTATAGAATCTACAACAGGACTGAATTTTGAATTTTGTATTACAATTAGAATGTTTTTACATTTCACATTTTGGTTTGTTGCTCACTACACTAGAATATAGTGTAAGAACCCAATTTTGTGATTCATTTAGACCAGAGTTTTGTCTTTTTGTGAGCTTGACAGCTCCTATGCTTTTGCTTATTTAAAAATATTCTATTCTCCTTTTGCGTTACACGTAAAGTCATGAGGGTTTGGAACAACGCAGGTGAGTAAATAATGACACAACTGACTATTGCTTTAAACTCTTACTTCAAAACATTTCACAGTTGGAAAGAGTTTTACCTTTTCCACAGAGAGTCCCAGCACCATCTCATCATCCACTGTGAGCAGCCGGTGTCCCGCTGCAATCCGACAGTCCTGAAACACACACACACACACACACACACACACACACACAGAGAGAGAGGTTAGATATTTGCATTATAGTATATATTGTTACCATAAAACACAGATACTCTCTCAAAACCCTTATTCAATTAAAACGACACAGTATTAGTGCAACACACATTGACATCAAGTGTGACTTATTTTTATGAACTATTTACATCCACAAAATTGCCTTGAAATTAATTTTCCAATTTTTCAGGCATGCTTTATTGTGATTGGTTAATCACAGCATTTTGTGTTCAAATATATTTGTATAATGACCCCAGCAAACAGTTTATCTCTTTCTGAGGGCTATCTATACATTAAACAGGGTTATTATTGACTATTATTGACATTTTCGTAACTTGAAATAAAATAAACATTAGTTGAAATAAAACTTCAACTTATTTTATTTGAGCTAGTTGTCAAGGCAATATTTCTCAGTTCTGTTTAGTTCAAGTTAAAGTATTAAAACAACTGAAACTAAATAAAGTAAAACTAATAAATAACAATTAATAAATACTATGTAGACATATTTTTTGAAAAGTACAAAGGGTTGTGATAGGGCTGGGCGATATAGCTAAAAAAATTTATCAACGATAAAATGTTTCATATCGTTCGGTATCGATAATTATTGACATTTTTTATAACCTTTTTTAAAACAAAGAGCAATAGAAATTTTTTTTCAAATTTAACCACTGTATTTTTAAATTAACCCAACTTATTGAGACAAACAACACACATATTTTTTTTGTTTTAACAATCAAACGCAAAATAAAAATTAAGCAAATATCTCATTTCTAATGTTTTATATGCAGATTAAATAGGTCTTGAGGAAACTTTTGTCTTGTCTCCCGAGGCCACAGAAGGACGCAATGAGCAAAATAATGCAGCGCATTTAAATTGTCAACGCAAGGAAGTAACTCTATAAAAACCGTGCATTACGTCTAAATTAACTCATATAAATCAAACATAATTTTGTAAATTGCATAAACAATTATGAACAAAACAGCATCATGTATTTATGCACTGCTTAATCCAAAGAACCGAAGCGCCGATCACAAAGATTGCATTTAAAAACATATGAGACGCAGTGAAATGAATAAACCTCCACAAATTCGTGACGTGTTTTCTAAAGGTTTAAACTGTTTTAACTTTGCATGGCTACATCTCTTGTGTGAGACGTGAGTGCAGCAGTCATATTTGTCCGTCTAAAAAAATGCGCTGAATATGCATCTGT